AAAGAAAGTACAAACATTTATATTGTTAAAAATTAAATTATAAACTGTTTATTATCTAGAATGAGATGACCGTCCAATCATATTCTGAGTCTATAGACATGATGAGCATTGAAGACACAAATAAGCATTTTTTACATAAAATAAAAGTAAGATAATGTAGTTATAAATATTTTAAACATATTTCTTTCATAGACATATTTAATTAGAGCTTAGAAGAAGAAAACGATCGTTTGTCATCAATAATTAAAAGMAAAAATATAATAAACAAGCAAGATAGTTTAAAATSTAATTGTAATACCACGCTGGAATTAGCAAACAAAAAAATATCACAGCTAACAGACAGGGTACATGAACTTATGACAGAATTACAATTAATCAAATCGTCAACATCTGAAGTCGATTTTGCAAGTATGCTCTGTTTGTGAATAACACATCAYAATATTATRTTATCGCAKTATAGTATTCATYATCAATTTGTTTAATTAACATTCTATTAAATTTTTACAGAAATAAAACAATTGAATGATAAGTGTAATTCATCGAATAACAAGATTTGCAATTACCGTAACCAAATAATACAATTGAAAAATGAATTGAAAATTGCTCAAAATGTAAGAATGGTTTATAATTCATTTGTAATAATTAGTATTAATTATTCACAATATATAGGCATTAGCTAATGAAATCGGCGATCCAGCAGTGATGCAAAAAGTTATGAAGAGTACAGGATCTTCAAATTACATTGGACGAGGACAAAAAATATTGGTATTGCAGCAAAAGGTGAATGAGCTACAAGCGAAACAGAGTGAAAATAATTTGACAAAAAAACTGCATAATTCAACTGGTACTATAGTAGTCATAATTAATATAATATACCTAAATATATATACGTATACACTATACATCCATTTAATGTTGTCTATAGGAAAATATTACTGGATTAGTATTGATAGTWTTGTTTATAGTTGTATATTCTGTTTGATCACCAATTATATTTATAACAATTTTTAATTATAATACAGTGAAACCTCTTTTAACGGACACCTCCAAATAATGGACGGAATTTCGGGAATGGTGAAATGTGTACTCACTGTATTTTCCCTCTTAATAGCGGACAACATTTAAGCGACTGAGAGTGTCCGGTATTTAGATTTTTCACTGTAATTGTTTATACCTATAGTAAGAGTATCGAATATACATACAGAAGTTTGCTAAATAAGAAATTAACTAAACCAACTTAATTTTTTTGGCGTATATTTTTTTTAAGGCTAGATTTATTTAAAAATATACATATAATTTCAATTGTTTTCTACGGAATCTCGCAGTGATATTATAGATACATTGTGCCGGTCTATGTCAATACCAATAAATTTAATGTATTTGGTAGGTAAATGATACAGAAATAAATTCAACACCTTGATTGTATATGAACCATGAATAACATAATTTGAACAAAATGGTTCAATAATACGT